TTTTAATTTTCTTTTCGTAATTACTACAATTATCATCAGCACTTTTTGTCTATTTTTTTTATTAGTAAAACCTGCAAATTGATTTCTACATGTCTGTTTTGATGAATATTTTATGTGCTTTGGTTTGTGTGTTTATGGTCCATGTGTTTCAGTGTGTGTCTTTGTTTATTATAACTTATATTAAAACTTGGTGTCACTCCTTTGATCAGATTTCTGTATGAGTGACACCATCCTAATAAATCATTAACTTATTATTATATTAATATTATTTATTATTATTTTTTCATTGTAATTATTGTAAACATACTTATTATTACTATTACTATAATTTGTATAATTATTTTTTTTTATCTTATGTTATTATTATATATTTTTGCTATTATTACTATTATTATTTTTATTATTATTATCAAAACTATTGTAAAATGATTTACAGAAAATAAATAGCTTGTTGTTGTTGTTGTTGTTGTTGTTGTTGTTATTGTTGTTGTTGTTGTTGTTGTTGTTGTTGTTGTTGTTGTTGTTGTTGTTGTTGTTGTTGTCTGTTTGAGATTGATGTATAGTCCAAAGAAAAGTTTTTTCTCTTTTTCAAAACTATTGTAAAATGTTGTTGTTGTTGTTGTTGTTGTTGTTGTTGTTGTTGTTGTTGTTGTTGTTGTTAAACAGGTTGAAAAAAAACATTTTATTGCTCAAAATATATCAAACAACTTTTATTTATATAAATATTATTTTATATAATTATAAAAAAAAATTATATTTGTAAAGATTTTGTTAATTATTCTATTTAGAATGATTGATCAAAATTCAAAACAAGAGCAAGTTCAACTTCTGAACCAATCAAAAATACTCCTAATTTAGAAAAAACGTTTTTAATATACCCTTTTTTACTTCGTTTAAGTAAAAGATTCTGTTAGCCGAACCGTTTTCCTTGGTTCCTTGAAGATTCGAGTTACCGGTATTTTACTGTAACTTGCAACATAATTTGAAGACAAAAAAGGCATTTTAGGGTACGCTTTCAAAAAAAAAATAATTTTTTGGTCATAGTTTGAATTTTCACTCTGAATTTTTTTTGTTTCCTATGAAGATACCTACCAATTATTCGTAGTTCACTTCTATCAAGGGGTGTCTGAAAAATGACTACATATGTAAATATATAGCCTTAACTAAGTTTATTAAACATCAGTGAGAGTCGATAAATTTCCTGGGACAACCCCAGCACAATCCAATTTTTTAAGTAACTTTTATAACTTTTCTTGCTCTAAATATTTTTAGACTATGATTCTCATAATCTTGAACTAGGTTTTAATAGGTCTTAACAACACAAATATAAACTATTAAAAAATTGATAAATTTTGTATGCATGTTTTAAATAGTATAAGATCAATAATTATTAGGATAAATAATTAAATAAAGCTTTTATCTTTCAGTAAATTTACATTTTTAAACAACTTTAAACATTTATAGAAAAAAGATTAAACAACAAAGCATGTATTATCATATATTAAAAACTATGTTACATATGCAAATACAAAGAATGCTTTACAAACTTATGCAAATCCAAAGCTGCACACTGCTTTTTTTTAACTTTTTACCATGATCAGGATAAGAAATAAATCTTTCATAAAGTGTAAACATCTTTTTAAATTTAGCATGAATTGCTTTGTCTGTTTGCTCAGCAAATTTACCCAAACCACAAGGTTGATGAATTCAATATGGAATTACATAATTTATTATAATGTTGGTTTCCTGAGTTAAAAGCAACTTTGTGTCAAATGTATGTCGCAAAAAGAACTTTTAAATATTTTAAAAACCTCAATAATATTTTTCTGTAACTCATATTCAAAGCAAAAATGTCTTAAAACTGCCTGAAAATCTTTTAGGCACTGTACTATTGGAATGAACTGAGATGGAATATCCTGTTCTAACAAGTCTAGTTTCTCCAATATACGCTTGGAGTTAGATCCATTCCAAACAGATCGTAAACACAGTTATTATTCTCTTTAAATAATTTTAAAAAAATCCTTAAATTATTATTTCAAATTTCTAAAACTATGTTAGCTAACTTCAAATCAAATGCTAAAAGTAATTTTTTAGACCGTCTAATCAAGTAACTGAAACAGTTAATTAAGAATTTATTGAACAAAAAAAATAATTTCTTTTAATTATGTTATTTATGTCAATATTTAGTTTTGTTAAAATTTACTATAAAATCTATACAATAAAAAAAGCATATTTTATTTGAATCAAATGCAAGGAACGAAAGTCTTTCAAGATTCAGTAGCTCAATAACCTTTCTGACATTGTTGTAATAACCCTTCTGACATTCGTGCATTTGCCACAATTGCCAAAAATTGAACTTTTTAAGCACCGGTATCGAGACACTGGTTTTAAAAAGCAAGTGTCTATTTTTCATCAATATGAAAAACATTAACACATATCTTCATAAACCTACCTCTAAAACCCATTGACACTGGCTTTAAAGTCTTATAAAAATCAACTCCTTTTTTACTAAATATCATCTTCACAAAATCAGATGTGCCTTTGACTATAACAACATCTCGCCCAACCAAACAACAAGTCCCCATTATCTCCTTACGCATCATTAAGTGACAATATGCAAATTAACTCTCAACACCATTGAGTGTAGTTTTTATGTCTTCTTCCCTATATGATCCGTATATGTATATGATCTCAGCCATGTTGAAAATGTTTATGAATTTTCTGACTCATGTTTAAGTATTTTTTAGAAACGTATCTTTATGCAAATTCTATTAATAATTTATACTTAACAGTACAATGGGTGATGAAGCATCAGAAAAGTAGCTTGCTTCAATTCCAGATGGGATTGTAAGAACTACACTTGACTCCAGATCGTCAATGCCTATTTTTTTAAATAAATTGTACTTCAAACTACCGACAGAAATTAATGAAAAGTAAAGAAGTTTATTTCTTTATGAATAGCACTTTTAAACATTCAAAAAGATTAATTTTTAACAAAAAAACGATTTTTTTTACTTCATTTATTTTCAATTCACCGACTACTTGTTAGAGAATTTATTTTTATTTCATTTATTAAAAAATGATGAAAATTAAAAGCAAATATTTCTTTAAATATTCAATTATGATGCGATAGCATCACAATTGAGTATTTGAATTATATATATATATATATATATATATATATATATATATATATATATATATATATATATATATATATATATATATATATATATATATATATATATATATATATATATATATATATATATATATATATATATATATATATATATATATATATATATATATATATATATATATATATATATTTGTGTGTGTGTGTGTGTGTGTGTGTGTATGTGTGTGTGTGTGTGTATGATTATTGAACAAAAGCATTTAATCGCTTAAGCAATATTGAAAAAGCAGCCAAAGAATTTCGAGCAGCTGCGATTGGATCTTTTTAAAGTAAAGGAAAGCAGCTAAAACGTCATTACTTGATAATATTCAGATGTCAAAAACTGGATTAAATAGATATTGTTATTTAAGCTAGTTTGCAATAAAATTAATAAATAAACAAAATTAATTTTTAACATGAAAATTCGCACAGAGCCAAACACCTCAAGTTTTAGTTAATCTGTTAATGTGTCCTTCTTTTGTAGTCCTGTCACCTGATGTGATTGTAGTCCCTGAAATGGCACCAATTCAATCAAATTATCCAACATTGCTTTTAGTTGTTGTCTCTGTGTCTAATTTGCCATAAAAGAGTATATTTAAGAGAGAAACATTCATTCATTAGTTCATTCATTACTACTAGTTCTCCAATGAAAGCTATTTTAGAGAACACGCAGCAAAAAAAAGTTTCGAAATAATAAAAATAAAAAGTAAAAAAGGCTAGTGGTAAGAGTAAGAAAGAAGTGAAGGTAAAAGAGAAAAAGTGTAAGAAGGGAGTGAAGGACTTTAACCAATTCAAGTCTGATCATACACTAAACAAAAACAAAATAGAGATTATTAAGAAAACGACTTTTATTGCTTATTTGGCAATGAAAAGTATCATGATCCGCCCACAAAAGGATTACATGCTTTAAATGTAAATTCTGGTTGCACAAAAAGTGTGCTAGTGAAGAAAGCACATCTCAACGTTTTGTCCGTGATTCTAGTACTCAATTATTGCAACTAAAAGTTTTTAATTTGTTGTAACCCAACAGTGTTTGTTGGTAACCAACAGTGTTTGTTGGTAACCTAAGTATGTTCATAATTTCAAAGACCAAAGGTTTTGTTTTTGCCTTAAACTTTTATTTTTTAGCAAGATTTATTAATTTTGACTGATTAGTTAGATTAAATAATAAGTAATAAATATGATTAATTTCTTATAACGGTGGTCTATTGTTCGCGTAACTTTTTTAGCACTACCCCATACGATATTTGCATAATTTATATGGCATTGGATAATTGAGTTATAAAGTTGAATAAATGCATGGCAAATGTAGAATATTTAAATATTATTAAATTTGTAAAGCATTTTGGACAAATAACAAACTTTACTTCAACTTTATTTTGGCACTTTTGTCAAAATCAACAAAGATGCAAATTCATACAATTTTTATTGAGAAAAATCATACTGAAACCTTGCGCAACAACACAACAATTTTTTATTTCTCAATAGATAATATATTCGAGTTCTTTTGATCTTGAACTTCTTTTATGAGTGTTTCCTAAATGTAATTTAAAATATTTGTTTGTAATTTTTTAATGACCTAATTATAATAGTATTGAATTTTTAAACGACAATATTTTTTTTAATAACTGGTTTATTATTATTGTATTGTTAAACGGATCTCGGTGACACGAACTTACGATCCCCTTCGAGTTTTTATTTTCCTATTTACAATGTACAACGGCGTTTTACCACAAAATAATACTATATAAACAAAAAATTAAGTTGAGCGTTATAAAAAAGCGGTTATTAAGTTTTACGTTATTCAATATATATCTTTAAATGCAACTTAAAAAAAGATACTTCGTTATTCTATTAATTTAGATTTACAAGAATTAGCACAAGTAGGTTTTAAATCAAGAGCATTATTTTTATTTTCCATGTTACGAGATCTGGTTATTAATGATGCGTTCCGCAATTTAAAAGCAATAGTTATGTTGTAGAACACGTTTTCTTTAGTACAGTATATAATTGGGTTAATAACCGCGGAAACCTTGGCAAACAGTGCTGCTACTTTCAAAAGCAAAATTGGAGTAGTTATTGATGTGAAAGCCGATAAAAGAGCAATTGTTGCGTACGGTGTCCAGCATAAAAGAAATGACAAAACCATAATTAATAATGATAAAACTGCTTTGTTTTCTTTTTTTTTAAATCTTTTTGTTTCTATGTTATCTTTACCGTAAGTACTTGAAAAGTATGTTAACTTAAGATGAATCACTCTTGCAGTGTAAAAACACGACACTAAAATTATAATTAGTGGTAAAAAAAACATAAATACTAAAAGCAATATTAAAAATACTTTATCCGATACTCATTTTGGCGTCCAATTAATGGAACAACGAGAACCTGTAGCTTCTAGCGTGTACGGAGAAAATCCTAGTAGAGGTAAAGATGCCCAAACAAAGGAGTAAACCCAAGATGCCATTCCTATTTTGTAAAATAAAGATCGATAACAGCCGTGGTTGCTTAGAAACGGTTTTTCCAGCAAAAACATTCTTGAAATTGCAACAGCAGTGAGAATTGATATAGAAGTAAACGATGGAAATACTGAAAAAAATGCTGCTAATCTGCACAAAAGTGTAGTTTTTTTTGAGCCTTTCTCCAAAAAAAGGGTTGGTAAAAAACCAAATATACTTTGAATTTCAGCGCTAACGGATAAATTTACACACAACATAATATAGTTGTTAACTCTTCTTTTAGCAAGGCAGTACAATGCTGCAATATTTCCAATAATAGCCATTAGAGCAATAAATGTTAACAAAATTTGTTCTGCGTCCATTTAAAACAAGTTTCAATATATTACCATGCAAATGAAATGATTGTTGCAAATTGGTTTGTACTAACAACAGATAGGTAACAACAGATTTATTATTTAACTGCATTCTTATGGCAAAGAAATATTTATAATAAAGTCTATTGGTAGAAGACTTCTTTTAAAAAAATTTAATGTAGACATATGAAGTCTGGAAATGTTATTTCTAGTTTTGTACTCATCCCCGTCACCTTTTTAATTTAGAAATCTTGCCATTTGTTTTATTTTGCACTCATTGCCGTCACCTTTTTATTTAGAAATCTTGCCGCTTATCTTAATTCTATATATTGCATTAATGCCATCAAAGTAAATTTAAAAATATTTTAAACTTTTTGAAAAATTTTATTTTGAAAAAAATTTGCTGTTTATTTTTCAAAAGCTCATATATATATATATATATATATATATATATATATATATATATATATATATATATATATATATATATATATATATATATATATATATATATATATATATATATAAATATATATATATATATATATATATATATATATATATATATATATATATATATATATATATATATATATATATATATATATATATATATATATATATATATATATATATTTCTAAGTAGTTAGGTGTTTCATCTGGATTTTTTAAGATCAATATTTAGTTAATATTTTTTAACATATTTTTAAGCGATTTTCTTTTTGTTTCTAAAAGACTCCAATCTTTGGAATTTTACTAATAATAACACTCTCTATGTTTGTCGGTCAAAAACATTCAAAAAATCAATTATAGCGTCCTTTTATTTGTATGTTCTAATGTTTCTAATGGAAGCAAAAACCTTATTTATAAAATTTATAAAACGTAGCCCGCAAAAAAGTGTATTGATCTTTGTATAAAATGGTAAAATCAAACTATAATTAATGAGTTTAAACCTATAACGTTTGCAGTTTTAATGAGTGATGTTTTAATGAGTGATGTTTTGAGAGGTTTACATTGTATTTAAAAGTTCATTAGTTTTTAATTTAACTTTGATGTTGCCAAATTCCACTTTTATGTATTCATTTTAGGGTTGGATTGACAATAAAGTATTTTAAAAAATGTGGACGCTTTTGTAAAATTTGTTATTTTCTTTATAGTTTGCAATGTTTACTATTTTTAAACTAGTTAACTTTTGAACTATTGTAGGTCAATCAACTTGAAATAAAGTTTTAAATAAATAATAATAATATTGGAAATAAAAAATGAAAATAAAAAAAAAAATTATTTACAGAATAAGTAATGTGCTTTCCTTGTGTTATCAACAATAGCAGAAACTTACAAAGAGATTTCTAAGATTTAATCGTTGTCATAAAAAGGTTTAAGACTGATTACTAAAATCACTTATAAAAATTTTGCAAATTATTAAAAACTAAGTAGACATTCTGTGTGATGCAAAATAAGCAACATAATCGATATTAAATATGAAACAATAGAAATAATAAAATAATAAAAAATCTTTAGTTACAAATCTCACAGCAATCTATTTGAATTTTGAAGAAATAGATAAGTTAAAGAAATTTAAAAAAAAACTTTTTTACCTGTCTGAAATGTTCGATAACTTTATTAAATAGGAAACTCATGTTTACTGTTTAAAAAAATCTAAACTAAAACTACGAACCCCAAATCACAAAAAAACTTTGAAATTGTTAATTTTAATATTTTCTATTAAGACTATTTTTCTTTTTAAATTGGTTCAAAAGCAACACAGTTGATTTCCTTTTTTTTTTTTTTTTTTTTTTTTTGTGATAGTTATTACGTCTCTAAGAAGACCTAATGGTATTGTCCCTGAGTACTCTACTAAAAATACATCCTTTTCCACGAATTGATTGAAAAACTTTTCATTTTACTAACCAAATTGTCTTTAAAATTTGAAGATCTGAGGTTCAATGCCCGGCGTGGGCATTGAACCTCAGAACTTCTTGTATTTGTTTAATCGCTGCCTTTTAATTTAAAAAGAGGTAACCAAAAGATTGCAATTTCGCTAAATAGAAAAAGAAATAATTTTTTATAAACAAGTTACAAACTTTGTTTTTCTTTAAAACATGTGCTTTATAAGTTGTTGTTTTTTTTAAATACATCTTTAAAAATTTTGGGGTATAATACTTAAGTTTTATTGAAAATTTTGTTTTATAAGAAACAAAGATTGTTATTTGTATATGAAACTTTAAATTATAAACATTTGAAAAATAATTTCATACCTAAATCATATTCCGATTGTAACGTTCCAAAACAAGTTCAAGCTTAATGTTCAAAATATTAATTCGACTTAATCTACATATTTACAAAAAATTGTTTTTAATTTGTCGAAATCTATTATAACATTTACAAATATTCATTAGTTAAAGACATTTTAATTTGGGTTTCTTGGAGATTTTTGGTCAAAAATCTCTAAAAAAAGCATATCTAAAAGATCAAAAATGGCGTTCCTGTTTCGTTAAATATTTTTCTGCAAGATCTATCTTTATTTATTTCAAAAAGAATTTATGCACATAGTTTAAAAAGGTTTTGTGCATTGTCCAGCACTTGGTTAGAAAGTCTCTTTTTAGGGTACTGGATTGGCACAGGACAATTGTATACAGGTACTATAAATTATGAAATAATATTTACAATATCTGGCTGGGGCGTAAAAAGAATGAGTGATACCAAAACCAACTTAAAAGGGAAACCAACTCACGTCGCCACGTTAAAACAGCTTTATCTTAAAGTCAAAACTAAAATAAAAAGTTGAAATCATACAATTATTAATAATACATATTCATTATCAAAAATTACAATGCAGTTTACATAAAAATAAGAACATTTGCGTTTAATTGAAGGTTGACTTATCTTTGTTTTTTTTAACCATCTTTGTTGTTGGTAATTATAATACAGTAGAAAGGGGAAAAAAATTGCAACGCCAATTGAAGATTTGTTTGTCAACACTTTTTTTTGTTTGTTTGCATAACAATTATATTAATTCAAATTCTGCTTAATGTAACTGAATAATTTTGTTAAATATTACTTAAAAACCAACAAATAAATGTGATAACTATATCAATTATAAATATGTGATAATCATAATACGTATAATTAATTATAACCAAAGAAAAAGTAAGAGACTATCAGATTATTGTATTTGATATATAATTGACACTGTATTTGAAATACATAGACCATTGACATTATGTGGAGAAATTATTTTGATGTCGAAAAAACTACGAATTTTTAAACTAACAAAATGATTAATCACACCTAACACGTTGATTTCTTAAAACATTTTTAATTCAAAGAACGGCTTAAGCTAATAGTTATACCTTGTAAATAGAATAGCCTGTCAATTAAGAGACTTGTATTAGTCATGTCTTTGCTAAAAAATGCATTTAAGAATATAATGGCTTCACGATGTCAATATTATGTTTGTGCAGGCGTGTTTAACCTTGTGCAGGCGTGTTTAACCTTGTGCAGGCGTGTTTAACCTTGCAACCAAAATCATAAACTAAATCCATATTAAGATTCATGAACAACGATTTTACATGGCCGAAGACATGGGTTCCGAATTGGATGGGCACAATCGTAAATTTTTTTTCTTTAAAAAAAAAAAAAGTCCATCTACAAAAAATGTTTTTTGTGCCCCCCCCCCCTTGTGCCCCTACATCCAGTGTAGTCGACTGTCTCTATTTAAAAATCATCAGTATTTGCATTTTTCCCTATAGGGGCAGTATGCAACTAGGGAAGGATGCTTTCTCTTGATTTGGGAGAGCTTTTAAGAAGTTTGTTTTTTTTATTTTGTTTTTTTCTGATTAAAAATAAACAATAAGCAAGTAAAAATGAAAAGTTTTTGTTTCTTTTCGTCGATAAACGTGCCAGATGACATTTTATTTATAGAAGGAATCGCTTAAAATTAACGATGTTTTAAATAATTTTCAAAATAAATGAACTATAACTTTCATTAGGATCAAGAAAGACGCGCTGAACTGTTGTATTATGTTAAGGTGCTTTGAAATAACAGATTTTCTCGTATAACTAAAGTTGAAGCTACAATAAAATAGTTTTAAACATTGATAACGCCATATATTTAATAATTGACATTTTACGCACAGCCTGGCGGAAAGCGCAGTCAACAAACTATTTCAAGATTTGATAATCGTTATCCGTCAAGTTTTAAATTTTAATGGAGGAAAATTTAATCAAACGCTGTTTGAAGTAGACAGACACTCAATTCATTCTTTCTCTTTTTTTACTTTATTTTCGTTTGTTTTTTTATTTAAAGCTTTTATTTTATTTTATTTTCCTTTATTTTATTATATACTCTTTATTCCGAAGAATCTAATTAAAACTATAAAATATTTTTTTTTTGCTATAAAGTTTATAAGTAATAAAAAAAAAGACAAGTAACTGGTAATTGGTCAAGTCTTTTCTGTGTTATTGAAACTATTTTGTGTTCGTCCTTGACATTCATTTTTTGCAGACAATGAGTCAGATCTGATCCTGAATTGTAGTTGATCAAAACTATCATTAGTTCAACCATCCATAAAAACTTGTTTTGAATTACCCAAATATTGTCAATAGGATGAGCTTTAGTAGTGTTTGCTGAATCTCTTTTGGTGACATTGTTACTTTTGTACTTGTAGCCAATATGACTGATAAAAGATCATGTAGTGAGGCTAAATCTGGTCAAAACGCAAATTTACAAAATCTGTGATGTTCTGAATAAATAGAACTTTCAGCTTAATTATACATTCAATTAAATGTTGATAAACGTTCTGCTTAGTCTAGCATGGATTTTATTCACTCTATTTGGCGAAATAGCAATTCAAACAAGAGCTTTCCGTACATATTTTGCTTTTTTGTAACACAACACGTAGGTTGTCTAGACACACAGGTGTCATTACTATTTAAGTCTGAGTTAAGAATATTGGTTAATTTGAAGTAGCTGTTGTCATTAATAATAAAATTAAATTTTTTTATAATTTTGTAGTAACCACCTACACTTTATGCGAGCCTTTTTATGAGTAGCTGTG